AGGTAGTATAGCATTTTCTACACTCTATCCAATAAGATTAGGAAGCAGTTAAAGTGTAAAGTATAGGCCATGTTTCATACTAACTTTTTTATGAGGTAAGGTATTAACTAATATATCATGGTATAAATAAAACATAATAGGTATAAACTATAACTTGTTAAACATGGACTTTAAGTTGGAGAAAGAAAAATAAAAATATACCTTAAGTTAGACATTTTGATGGATCTCAATCTTTGCTGAATCATGAAGAAAAATATGCAAAGTTAGATACTAAATGCTACATATTTATATATTTAATATAAACAAATTAAAAAATACACATCATATACGTTTGAGTTACTTCTAACCTTGGTGGCGATGAGCGAGAAAGAAGTTGCATTTTTCTAAACATTTCCTCTTGGCGTGCCACTATAGTATTCAATTGAGAATTTAATGATTGTATTTGAGATTGCTGGTCTTGTATTTGAGATTGTTGATTATCTACCACAGTTTCAGCTGCATTTAATCGATTATGTAATTCAAGTTGGGCACTAACAGCTTCTTGTTTCGCCTTTTTGAGGGAGTCTTCTAACTCTGTCGTTCTCCTTTGTGTAGATCTTGTAGTATTAGGTTTTGGACCATAACCAAGTCCTTTTATGTACCCCGACTTTGTACCAAGTATAGTATCCACAATTTCATCAATAGTCATGGAAGACTCTCCCGATGTATATAGATCTTTCAAATCTGTCATGTTGTTCTGCATAAACATATTAAAATTATTTAAAGGAGAATGCACAACTTTTGAAAAACATTAATCTGACAAATCCAATGAGAATGTTATAAAAGATGAAAAGTATTTTTTTACATAGTGAGTCTCAGCCTCTAAAGATGACCATCCTTTCTCACTCGTGTAATGAGTATGCTTATAGAACTCGATTCTGTCATGCTCTACTCCTTCAGGGTTAGTTTTACCCTGTGAAATAAGAAACAATTGAAATAATACTAAAGTTTCATAGTCAAAACATAAAAATGGTATAACTTACAAGTTCAGCACGAGCCGCTACAAACGCTTTTGACCCCATGAAATGATTACACTTAAGCTTAGTTCGATTGGCCTTGTTTATGTCGTATCGTTTCTACAAAGAAAATACAAAATATTGTAACTTAAATAACAACGAGAATAAAATCAATATAAATTACCTTATGCTCTGGATTGATCCACATGTCACAAAGCCTATTCCAATTTTCTGGGGTCAACTCTGGCACTTCAATCTTACGAGCTTCTTCATCAGAGCGTGCATTTTCAAATGGTTGTTTTAACTTGTAGCGCCATTGTCGGCTTCTGTTTTTCAGAATATCCTCACAACTATCTTTCACGTAATGCTCATCCAAATTAATCTAAAACCTCTCCTAAAAATCAAATAAGTATTAAAGAAAAACACAGAACGAGCAAAATCCCTTTCATATTAAATAATAATCATTACATTTGCAAACATATTAATTAACTTCAAACTTAAGTACCCTTTGTGAATCATATATTGCAGTTCAAAAACTTTATTTACTCTCATAAACAGTGTTCTAGACAGCCGAGCTACATACATAATATCACTCTTTTCTATTTCCAGTAAGGTAATGTCACGAATTGATAAGTTAAGGATTGACTTTATATGACAAGGAAATAACAAAAATCATGTATTTCATCGTCTCAAGATCATTATTCCAAATACCTTGAAGGCTTAGGTATTAGGAACCTGACAGGACATAATAGAATCTGCTAATGAAATGGCTATGGAGGTTCAATAATTACGATGGTGCTTTCTGAAAAGAAATGTTTTTTTTGTAAAAAATGAAATACTATCACAC